TCCAGTCTGTCCCAAACTGGTGTCTTTCCATCTCGTGTTGAGCTCTGGAAGCACCAATAAAGCCTGTTCTTCATAATGTTTCTGGAAACATCTCCTGTGTTCTTCACACGTGTCACCACAGGTGTGGCTGAAACATTATAGAGTAACGATGCAGGATTGGAGCTGGCAGTGAAGACACGTGCAGTGCATCAACACAACACTGTGACAGTGACTCACACACGGCTCAACACGCAGCATCCTGGGAGCTGGTCTGGACTCACCTGTGGACAGAAACAGGTGCTGGTGTGTTTGTTTGACAGCACGCTGTGGCTGAGCTCGCTGACAGAAGACTGAAGGAACCAAGCTGTTCTGCAGGCTCGGGGCTCGAACCGTCCGTCGACATGTGAAGGAAACGAAAGGCAGGAGAGCCAGGACCGCCCCACTGCCGGGACAGGAAACAGCCGCCTTGGCGTTTACCACAGCGCAGGTGAGGAAGCCGAACGTGCTGTGGACACACGAGACCATCAGAAAACAGCGAGGCCTAGCAAGGAGACGACACAGGAGCTACAGTCAGACACGGGGCAGGTTGCTGCCTCTGGCCTGGCGGTGTGCGAGGCACCATGAGATCTGAAGACTACCAGGGTCGGGTCAGTGTGAGACAGCTGGGTCAGAGGTCATGGGACCAGCAGGACCAGGACCCCGACACGCCTCTGTGTGAAGACGACACGCTAATCTGAACCCCACTGATCACGCACGGACACGTGTCAGAACTGCGGGCGCCAATCGCAGGCCAGACGTGCAGCTTGTTGATAGATGCGACCGACTGCAGTTCTGAGCTGTGTGTGAAACGCTGTCAAGTCTTTAGTGTTGATCCACTGCACATACAGGAAGTAAACATGTACACCAAAAGCTACTGGGAGAACTGGTGCTTCTACTGGGAGAAACCATTTCAGCCATGACTGTCCTGGAAAACTGGGGGGTTCGTACAGGCGTTTCATTAATGGGGACAACTTGTGCTGTGATGTTCAGATGAAAATGTCCTCGACTGTGGGAGGAGTTTAATGTGGACCCTATAGGTGGGCGATGATGTCATCTGCCACTGTCATACTGTTACTGAAAGAATTGATTGTGAACTCCACAGTATCCAGTCAGTCACACGAGCCTGCTCACCACAGCAAACACAGTCTGATCTGTCCTTCCCTCAGATTCACTCCATCCACCAGAGGAGGAAGGTGGTGGGCCGCAGCAAGAACTTCGACCAGCTGGTGGCAGAACTCAAGACCAGGGTTCGAGAGAAAGGGAGCCAAGCCCTGGAGGGAGGCTCCTCGACGGGACAGTCCCTCAGCCCAGAGGCCCCCAGGGAGCAAGCTGGTACTCCACACTGCAGGAGACCTTTGGTCACCCTCCCTGCCTTCAGGTTGTGAAGCTGAAGCTAAGGATGCTTATAGAAGAAGTTAGGACTCTTCTAGAGATAAATAATCATCTTTTTACTGCTTATAGCGGCTCAAACATGGTTTGTCTTGCAGGATTCATGTGTAGTCAGTGCTGGGAAACTGTTTTATCGAGCAGCTAACAGCTGCTGTAACGTAGACATGCTGGACTGATGATCTGCTAAACTAACATCCAGGTGTTCGTTCTGTTACATAAACAGTCCAGCAGGTCCCGGCTCAGCGTGTGCATCAAGTATAGGCATTGAGCTGGTGTGGTGCTGCTGAGGGTGTAACTGGATCTGGATGGTCCTGTGTGTTTCTAGTTGGCCTACGGCTGTGGTAGAGAGCGCCCCAGAGGAGGAGAGCCAGCGGGCGGAGGAGGGTAATCCCAGAGTCCCCTCACCTCTGGTCCACGGACGGATCTCGAGCGACGAAAGCGAGGCAGAAGGAAACGACGAGCGAGCTGAGTTTCCATCTTCGGCTGCACATCCCAGACCAGCGGCGGTGAGACGTCCTTACTGGGGCTGAGCACCCACAGAGCCTCTGA